CTAGCACTAGCGGGCCCAGAGGAAATATTGCTTCTCAAATTCTGGGGTCCCAAATAGAGAAAGTCTTCCCTATATATACCTTTTTCAGTTCTTTGTATTCCAAATTTGGAATGAGACTTCTGGACCTTCTGAGAAAAAGTCCTATGTGCTGGGACAGGAGCGTGAGGCCATATCTCAATGCCTGGCCTGGTGTCAGCACTGACAACTCTGTATGGCCTTTCTGGAATGGGAGTAGTCTTATTTTTCCCTGTTATTTAAGCAAGCAAACATTTACAGAAACCAGAATAGCAGGGTTAAATTTTAAACAGCAGTTTTTACCCAAGATGGAGGTTACTATGCTTCAATAGGAGCTGATAAGTAAATATTTGTTGGATGGATGGATGGATGGATGGATGCATGGATGGATGGATGAATTTGTCAGTTTACTAATCCTAAGAGAGAGCAATGGGCAACATGTTGGGGAGCTATAATGAGGCCCTGGGTGGGATTGGTATATCCAAAACACTAATGGGGACCAGAAACCAGGGGAGGGGAGCATACCCATCCCAGACATTCCTCTTGCCAGCATTCCCCCTGTCTCCCTCTTGAACCTGCCTCAAGACAGACTTGGAAATTACTCAGAGAAATCTTGAGTTACACCCAGGAATGTGACATTTCTTTTCTATTCCCTTCCCAAATCTTGTGCTGGGACAAAACCACCCATGCCTGGCTGTGAAATGGATGGGCTCCAGCCAGTGCCTAGTGTTGGTGGATTCTCTGGATGCCCTATACCCACTTGTTCCCCAGGACATGGACATTTCTGGGAGCTCCCCATGAATTCCCTCTCAGCTTCTTCCTTCTCCTGGAGCAGCAGAGAAACCCTTCCTTTACTGCATGGGCGCCTCTCCAGCAGATGGAGTCAAGGTTCCTCTCTGGTGCCTGTCCAGGAAGACACTCCCAGGGAGCACCTAATCTTAACTTTAGTGGTCCTCTTCCCTTCTTCTTTGGCACTAAAAGAAACAAAAAATAAGAACTATGAGCTCTTAAGGAGGGAAATAAGGGTAACCTTTTTCTACAGCTCTTCGAAGGCCTTGGCTCCCTGCCCAGATCTGAGTCAGGAACTGTATGTCCCAGAGAATTGGCTTCCAAGACATTTTCTCTGAGCCTAAAGATCGTAGGGGCCCTCTTGGGATGTTCTGTTCAAATTAGCCAAGAAGGGCAGGTGAGGATGACACAGCAAGAGGGATGTTGGCCAATCTAGGCTTCCAAAGGTATGGAGGAAAGGGGCAGATATATAACACCAGAGCAAGTCCCCAAGCATGGGGTTCAGCTGCAATATTCCCAGAGCCAAAACTTCACAGCTCCCATTTCAAGGGAACTAATGGCTTTTGAACACCTACTTTATGCCATGCATTTCCTCCACAACAAGCGAGAAGTTACTGTTCTCTTTTACTAGTCACAGGAACCTAGACTCAGAGAGAGGTTAAGTGCCTTATGTAAAAATCATGTAGCAAATACACAGCAAATTGCAAGAGATCAGAACCAGGCCATCAATTCTAAGCCTCATTTGAATGGTTACTGATGTTGCTAGAAAACAATTCTCTCTTTTCAGTGAGCATGTGGGCAGCTTGAAGACAATGGCAGGGAGGAGAAACAAGAAAATCACACTCCTATGCCTAGGACATAGCTTGCTCCATTTGTCCCTTTGACACAGCCATCTCCAGGTGGTGGGAATGGGCCAGACAATAAGAGCTGTGTGCTCTCAGTGGTTAGAGTAGGGGTGTCGAACTCAATCAGAGAAGGGGCCAAAATCTAAAATCCAGCCTAAATCGAGGGCCGAATTGTTTACTGAACAGTCATAAACTGTCATTGTGATGGAAACACAGCGGAGTGCAGTGATGACACCGAGTGCGGGCCACATTGCAAGGCCTGGCGGGACGGATTTGGCCCGCGGGCCTTGTGTTTGACACATGTGGGTTAGAGGGTCAGCCCATACACCAAAGGGTCGCAGATTTGATTCCTGGTGAAGGGCATGTATCTCGGTTGCGAGTGTGATCCCCACTTCCCTTCACCCCACCTCCCACCCCCGGCGGGGCATGTGCATGAGGCAACCAGTCAATGTGTCTCTCTCAGGTTCATGTTTCTCTCTCCTCTCCCTTCCATTCTTTCTGAAAATCAATAGAAAAAAATAGCCTCTGGTGAGGATTGACAGCAACAACAAAAAGATCAAGTTTCAGAACTGGAAAATTTTATAGTGGAAACAAGAATAGAATTACCTATGGTTTCACATCAGTTATAAGAGAACATTTCAGATTAATGGAACTGTCCAAAGACAGACAGATCCACAGGAGGAAGACTGACAAGGCATCCCTCACTCCTAAAATCCCTGAAGCCATGGATATTCATGTGGATTGAAGAGCCAACCCTCAGGCACAGTTGCCAGGGGGGCAGATTTTGGGACTCATAAAAGTAGAGAGCTTCTGCCATGACCGGTTTGGCTCAGTGGATAGAGCATCAGCCTGTGGACTGAAAGGTCCCAGATTTGATTCTGGTCACGGGCATGTACCTTGATTGTGAGCACATCCCCAGTAGGAGATGTGCAAAAGGCAGCTGATTAATGTTTCTAACTCTATTCCTCTCCCTTCCTCTCTGTAAAAAATCAATAAAAGATATATTAAAAAAAAAAGATTTTTTTTTTTTTTAAAGTAGAGAGTTTCTGGGACTAAGCTCTAGTGAGCCAGGGATTCATGTTAGAATCACTGGGGATCTTTTAACAATAGTTATATTTACAATACATGTTTTTCACAAAGGACTAATATCCAGAATATACAAAGAGCCCCTATAAATCAATAATAAAATAACCAAAAAATATGGGCAAAAGACTGGAACAGACACTTTATGAAAGAGGATATGTGAATGGGATAAACACATGAAAAGATGATTAACATAATTAGTCCTTAGGGAAATGCAATTTAAAATTGTGAGGAGATACTGTAACCAGACAAACAATGGGTATGTGCTACCTGTCATTACTTGAGCCAATGAAATAGAGACAGGGTTGAATCATATATGAGCATTTATTCCAGTACTATTGGCAGTGTGGGAGAGGAGCAGGTTAGCCACAAATCTGCTCTGCAGCTCACCATAAGTCAGCGGCTTATATAGGAAAAGTAGGCAAAAGGGCCATTTACAGATATGCAAAAGGGCTAGGACACTGTTCGGCAAACTCTTTAATCAACAGAGCCAAATATCAACAGTACAACGATTGAAATATCTTTTGAGAGACAAATTTTTTAAACTTAAACTTCTTCTAATGCCACTTCTTCAAAATAGACTCGCCCAGGCCGTGGTATTTTGTGGAAGAGCCACACTCAAGGGGCCAAAGAGCCACATGTGGCTTGCGATCCGCAGTTTGCCGACCACGGGACTAGTGGTCTTCAAAGGGCTTAGTGATATGCATGGGCTGGGGTTACATGGGCAAATAGCCAAAGTGCTAGATGGGCAGTTAACAGGTAAGCAGGCTGGAGATCCGCAAAGGCCTGCAGGTTTGCAGAAAGGGCTGAGGATCTTCAAAGGGCTGGCATTCTGGTTTCTGCAGCATAGTTGATAATCTTTCCATGATAATAGGCAGCTCCAGATGTGGAGGAAGGGCTGCATCTCCAGGTCAGCTCCATCCAGGGTAGAAGTGCCTTTTTTGATCAGAATAAAACAATCATGGTCAACAGAGCATGATTAGTATTTCTTACAATACTAACTGGTTCCCCAAATCCTATTGCTGCCGCATTTCAATATCACTATGTATCCATGAGAACTGCTACAATTAAAAAAAAACAGATAGTTCACCCTAGCCAGTTTTCTCAGTGGTTAGAGCATCGTCCTGTGAACTGAAGGGTCCCAGTTTGATTCAGGTCAAGGCATGTACCTTGGTTGCAGGCTCCATTCTATTTGGTGCACATGTGGGAGGCAACCAATTGATGTGTCTCTCTCACATTGATGTTTTTCTCTGTGTGTCTCTCCTTCCCTAAAAATCAATGGGAGAAATACCCTTAGGTTAGGATTAACAAAATAACAACAATAATAATCATAATCCTGTCCTAAATGGTTTGGCTCAGTGGATAGAGCATCAGCCTGCAGACTGAAGGGTCTCAGGTTTGATTCAGGTCAAGGGCATGTTCCTTGGTTGTGCACACATGTTTCTCTCTCATCGATGTTTCTGACTCTCTATCCTTCTCCCTTCTTCTCTGTAAAAAAAATCAATAAAATATATATTAAAAATAATAATAATAATCCTATGTAATAAAGAGGGGGTATGCTAATTGACCAGCATGCCCTCACAAAACGGCGGCACCCACAGCCAATAAGGAGGAGATATGCTAATTGACCATCATGCCCTCATAAAATGGCAGCACTCACAGCCATAAGATGGCAGCGCCTGGTCCCCTCAGGCCCTCCAGGCCAGCAGGTGTACTATGCATGCCTGCCTTCGGAGTCCCCCATTTCCCTCAGCCCCCGAACCACCCAGGGCTGGCCTGAAGCACAGGCAAGCCTCAGATGATGGCTGCCTGAAGCTCGGGTAACCAGGGCCAGCCGAGGCTTGTGCTGCTGGCAGTGGCAACAGCAGAGGTGTGATGGGGGTTTCACCTTCCCCTGATCGCGGGATTGCCTCCTACGCCTGAGGGCTCCCAGACTGTGAGAGGGAGTAGGCTGGGCTGAGGAACCCCCTTCCAGTGCATGAATTTTCATGCACCGGGCCTCTAGTAATAAAATGAAAAACAAAACAAAACAAAAAAACAGATAATCCTGTCCAGGTAGCTTAGTTGGTTAGAGTATCATCCCAATACATGAAGGTTGTGGGTTTGATTCCTGGTCAAGATTCATACAAGAATTAACTAATGAGCGAAACTGGTTTGGCTCAGCGGTAGAGCGTCGGTCTGCGGACTGAAAGGTCCCAGGTTCCGGTCAAGGGCATGTACCTTGGTTGCGGGCACATCCCCAGTAGGGGGTGTGCAAGAGGCAGCTGGTTGATGTTTCTCTCTCATCGGCGTTTCTAGCTCTCTATCTCAATCTCCTTTCCTCTCTGTAAGAAAAATCAATAAAATATATTAAAAAAAAAGAATTAACTAATGAATTCATAAATAAGTGGAACAACAAATAGATGTTTCTCTCTCTTCCTCTCTTGTTAAAACCAATCAATATATTTTTTAAAAAAGACAATACAGAGTATTAGCATGCATGTGAAACAACTGTAAAACTCATTTTTGCTGGTAGGGGTGCAAATTTGTGTAAGAACTTTGTAAAACTGTCAGTTTCAAATAAGTTCAGCATAAATCCAGTAATTCCATCACAAGAGAAACCAGTGCATGTGCCCACACAAAAACTGGGAACAACTCAGGATGTGTAAATGGCTAAACAAACTTTGGTGTATCCATAGAAGGAAAGTTGCAAAGCAACAAAAAGGAATGAACTACTGATCAGTGGAACAAATAAGATGAATCTGAAAGGCATTATGCTATGTGAAAGGAGCCAATATCAATGTTACATAATGCTTAATTCAATTTATATACATTTAAAGAACAATGAAAATGAATCTAAAATAGAATCCAGAATGGTGGCTGCCTGTGGCAGGAGTGGGGCATTGTTTGGGGTGGTGGAAATGGTCTATGTTTTGTTTTTAAGAGAGTATTATGTTATTTTTAATATGTTTTTATTGTGTTTTTTTTTTAGAGAAGAAGAGAGAGGGAGAGAAAGAGAAGAACACTGATGAGAGAGAGAAGCATTGATCTGATGCCTCCTGCACACCCCCTACTGGTAATTGAGCTAGAAACTCTGGACATGTGCCTTGACTGGAACTGAACTGTTGACCTCTCATTGCATGAGCAACACTGGTATGTTTTTACTGGGGCAGTTGTTACATAGGTATCAACAATTATCACAATTCATTGAAGTATGTACTTAAGACTTATGGATTTTATTGTTTGTAAATTATACCTAAATTTTAAATTTTGTGCCTAGGACACACACCTACCTAATTAAATCAAAATATCTGGAGGTGAAGCTTGGGCAAGAACATTTAAAAAATCTTCCCAGGTGGGGACTCTCCCCCTCCCCATGTGGGAGTCTGTACTTGTTCTTCAATAAAATTTCCACCTTTGCTATAAAAGATAAAATAAAATAAAATAAAATAAAATAAAATAAAATAAAATAAAATAAAATAAAAATCTTCCCAGGTGACACTAATGTGCTTCCAGTCTGGAAACCTCTGATTAATATTACCATCCTCTTTCCCTACCAACAGATCCTCTGAGCCTCCTGTGTCACCAAGGCTTTTCAGAGGTGCTCATTGGCAAAAGTTCCTCCCACTATCAGTAGTAGAGGTAGACAGATAGGAACAGAAGGTGAGTGAAGGTAAGCACTTACTAATATATCTCTAAGGATGTTTTATATTAAAACATAAAGATATAATTTTACTCTTCAAAATCGTCAAAACCATGAATTTAATGTTATGTGAATTTAATATCAATTTTTAAAAATTCAAGAGCTTTCTCTGTCTTAGGGGCTACATATATTTTGCTGTTAAGAGTGCACTTTATTTGACCAGTCCCCGTATTATGGATATTTTCTGACTATTTGCTATTACAAACATTGTGACAATAACTACCCTGGTGAATGCATTTTTTTGTGTGTGAATATGTGTGAGTATATTTGTAGGATAATTTCCCAAAAATGAAATTGTTGGGTCAAAGTGTATATGTCTTTTTTCATAGAAATTGCTAAATTGTCATCCATAAGGGATGAGGGAACTTACATTTCTTCATCCCTTATGGTGAGGATGCCTGTTTCCCCACCTTTGCCAATAATGTTTTTCAACCTTTTGATTTCACTCTTCTGATTATTAAAACACTAGAGGCCCAGTGCATGAAATTCATGCATTGGGAGGGAGGGGGTCCCTGAGCCCAGCCTGCAACCGCTTCAATCTGGGAACCCTTGAGGGATGTCCGACAGCCCCTTTAGGCCCCATCCTGGTCAGGCCTAAATGGGAAGTCGGACATCCATCTCACAATCCAAGACTGCTGGCTCCCAACTGCTCGCCTGCCTCTGCCTAGTTGCCCCTAACTGCTTCTGCCTGCCAGCCTGATCACCCCATAACCACACCACTGCCAGCCTGATCGATGCTTAACTGTTCCCTGGCAGACCCAATTGCCCTAGATGCCCTCCCATGTCAGCTTGGTCGCCCCTAACTGCCCTCCCCTGCCAATTTGGTCATCCCTAAGTGTCCCCTGCAGGCCTGGTTGCCCCCAACTTCTCTCCCTTGCTGGCCCAGTCACCCCAAACTGCCCTTCCCTGCAGGCCTGCCCCCCCCCCCCCGAACTGCCCTCTCCTGCAGGCCTGGTCCCCCCAACTTCCCTCCTCTGCTAGCCTGGTCACCTCTAACTGCCCTCCCTGCTGGCCTGATCGCCCACAATTGCCCTCCCATGCAGGCCTGGTGCCCCCCCACCAACTGCCTTCCCCTGATAGCCTGGTCCCCCCCAACTGCCCTCCCTTGTAGGCCTGGGTCCCCCCCAACTGTTCTCTACTACAGGCCTGGTCCCCCCACAACTGCCCTCTCTTGCAGGCCTGGTCTCCCCCAGCTGCCCTCCACTTCTGGCCTAGTTACACCCACTGCCCACAACTGCCCTCCCCTGCCAGCCATCTTGTGGCAGCCATCTTGTGTCCACATGGGGGGAGCCATCTTTGACCACATGGCAGCAGCCATCTCGTGTCTTGGAGTGATGGTCAATTTACACATTACTCTTTTATTAGATAGGATGGGACCTTGTATTTTTCTTTACTGAGCTTCACTAAGACAGATCAAGAGCATTCATGGAGAGCAAGGGGTTGTTTGGGAGGCATAAAGGAAGGCAGTTATCTCCCCACATTTCTGTTTTGGCCTAGTGACTTGGCCCCATCTAAATCTCATCCTGTTAATTTTACCTCAACCTCATTGGCTTTCTTTCTCTTGTTGGAACAAGTCCATTTCTACCACAGGGTCTTTACATTTGCTATTTCCTGTACTAGGAACAATGTCCCCTAAAGTCTTGGCATGGCTCACTCCTTATGGTTTAGATCTCAGCAATCTCTCCTGTGAGATCTTTCCTGACCCTTCTTCTTTTTTTAAAAAATATATTTTATTGATTTTAGAAAGGAAGGGCGAGTGAGAGAGAGAAACATCAATGATAAGTGAGAACCATTGTTCAGCTGCCTCCAGTATGCAGCACACAGGGATCAAACCCACAACCCAGGCATATGGAACTGTGATCTCCTGTTTCATAGATCAACGCTCAACCACTGAGCCATGCCTGGCCAGACCTGACCCATCTTTTTTAAAGTAGCTACCCCACCTCCCTCATCCTATTTATCTCCTTTAGAGCCCTTACTACTGATGATGAAAATAAGACATTTTTTGGGGGAGACCAGCAGCCTGGTTCTGTTTTTAGTTAATTAGTATCCCTAATCACATCTCTGTTAGCCTATAGTATAGTCACTGCCCCTTCCTTAATTATCTGGTCTTGCAAGACCTATTTACCTAAATACTCACGTTTTACAGAGGCCATAAACCATGAACCATACACAACCCCAGAGGGTGATCAGCACAGAAACCAGGTCAGGACTTTAGGAGTGGACTCACTGCCCCCATCCCACACATGGGGCTTTTTGCAAAGCACGTAAAATGTCCAGAAGTCTGTTACTTATTTGGGAGACAAAGAAACTAAAGAGTATAAAGAGAAAGCTTCTTCCATATTGGCTTGCTCAGGATTTGGAAACAGGCTCCCCTGAGTCACAGTACTAGTACATCTGGAAATAACTGGGTTTTTCCTGTATCTCTGAGTACTCCTGTGTGTTTCCAGTCGCCTGGTAAATTCTGTTAATGCTACAATTTAAAAGTGTCTCCTTTCTCTGGTTGCTTCAATATTGTCTGTTCCTCCTCTAAGAACATTATCTCTATGTCTGTATTGCCAATACCCCTGGTACATAGTATGTGTTTAAAAAATATTTGGGATTTTCTGAGAAGAGAGGAAGAAAATGGCAGGGGAATAGACGGTTGTGTCCCGAGCCTTGTCCAAGAGTGGATAGAAGGAACAACTGAGGGTAGCACAGGGAGTGTTTGTTGGTGAGTTGGGAGACAGCTATACTTCAGGAAAAGGTGGTGGACTGATGGACGGGGTTCCCCTGACCAGTCAGCCCCCAGTGCTACTGGGTTCTCTCTCGGAGCCACCAGCTCAGACACGGACCACACCATCTTGAAGGGGAAAGGCCTGAAAATCTACAACTGTGGCACTCACCGAACAAGTGAGAACCCCAGAACATCAGTCCCCAATTGGCACAAACACGGTGATTCAGAGGAGCTCTATACTCCACCACGGAAGGGTCAGATTTCACCTGGGATAAGGTGAGATCTCTACTCCCCGCAGGAGAGAGAAATGCACCCACTGTTGGAGCTGGAGGACTGGGGAAGTCTGCGCCTGGAAAAAAATCCATGGCTGTTGGGGCTGGTGTGATCCCTGAATGTGGAAGGGGATCCTCAGAGCTGATAACAGAAGGGATGCCTAGAAAGCAACCCATTGTGATCTGACAAAAAAGGACAACCTAAAAATTTTGGGAGTGTGCCGGCTGCTTAGACCTAAGGAGGGAAAGGGGACTGCACAGTCTTACGCGTAGCACCGAAGTTTGCACACTTGTGTTTTTCCTCTTCGAATCCTTGCTTCTGATTATTAAGCCCAGTGCATAAGATCACCCAGTTGAGGACACCCTGGGAGAGTTGTTTTTCTGGAACCTGGGAATCAGAGCAGGAAGTGGCCATCAGAGAGCCAGCTCTGGGGCAGCCCAATCCCACAAACTGGTATTGAGTGCCACAAGGAAAGCAGAATCTAAGTTCAGTCTAGAGAGGACCATTAGACCCAGAGGTCAAGCCAGAAATACTGCCACCCAGTAGCTGAATCACAAATTGACTCTTGTGTAACCTATATAAATAAAAATGTAAATGTTCGTTTGTCCAAAATCTTAAATCTCCAAAAGTTCTTCATTGATTGCTTTGAAATTTTGAAACAACGTTGCATTTGGATATGAATGTGTTTTTATATACCTTATACCTACTATTATATAGATGTCACACCTGTGACAGATAAAAACATGCTTTTTTGAAAATCAGCGCCATCTGTTGGACGTAAAAGCAACACATGGTATACTAAATATTTTATGATTCCATTTCAGTGTTTCTGATTTATGATCCATTTACGATTTCCAAATTTCCAATTTTATGATTCCATTTCAATGTTGATAATGATTGAATATTTGTGCTTAGAAATCACAAATAAAGTTATTGATCAATTGGGAATGCCATCACCGAATCCATCTGTTGCTATTTCGTTCAATGTAGAATTGCGGCATGAACAAAATTACAACACAGCTGATCTTTTGTCGTATGTGCAATCAAATATTCCTAAGCTAACGCTTGAGCAAAAAGGCATTTATGATCAAATAATGCAAACTGTCAATAACGGTAGCAATTCGATCCCAAAATGACATAGCCTTAGCTCTTGCCTCCTCTGGAATAGCTGTGATATTGCTACCAGGTGGGAGAACTGTTCATTTCTCTTTGATATTGCCACTGAACATGCAATTATTGACACTCCCACATGCAACATTTCCAAAGCATCCAGCAAGGCAAAAGTATTGCAGAAATGCAAACTTATTGTTTGGGATGAATGCATAATGGTGCACAAAATCTCGATCAATCATTGCAAGATTTGCGTGGAAACATCAGACCATTTGGGAACGCATTAATTTTACTTACAGAAGATTTCAGGCAAACATTACCTGTAATTCCTTGATTGACACCAACGGACAAAATAAATGCTTGCCTGAAATACTCTACTTTGTGGCGACACGTAAAGATGTTAAAATTAACTACAAATATGTGTGTCTAGCTGCAAAAGGATCAATCAGCTGAGATATTCTCACATCAATTGCTGGAAATTGGGAACGGAAAGGTGCTGGTTGATCTGACCTCAGGACGAATTTCATTGCCGTATAACTTCTGCAATTTAGTGACGTCAAAAGAAGAATTGGTTGAAAAAGTATTTCCCAATATTCAAACCAATTATAAGAATCACGGTTGGCTGAGTGAACTGGCTATTCTTGCGGCCAAGAACAAAGACGTCCACGAACTTAACAATATTATTCAGTCTAACATTCAAAGTGAGGCAGTCACATACAAGTCTGTTGACACTGTTGTGGAAGCAGATGAAGCTGTTAATTATCCAACAAAATTTTTGAATTCACTCGATCTGCCAGGGATGCCATCACATGTACTGCAATTGAAAATTGGCATGCCAGTGTGCATCCATATGAGCCTAGCCAGTGGTAAAGGACAACAGAGGAGTGAGGGCATACATGGGGAGGTGTTTGGGATGGGAATGGGGGAATGAAGACAAATATGTGACACGTTAATCAATAAAGAAATTTAAACAAAAAAAATCGGTGTGCCAATTATCATGTTGTGAAATATCAACCAGCCAACACTTTGCAATGGCACGCAGCTTGCAGTAAAAAGAAAAAATTAAAAATTAAAAAAATTAATGAGCAATGTTGTAGAAGCAAAATCTTGACAGGACCTTTCAAAGGTGATTATGTCGTCATTCCTCGCATTCCTATGATTCCAACGGATATGCCATTTCAATTTAAGACGTTGCAATTCCCCATTCGATTGGCGTTTGCAATCACCATCATCAAAGCTCAGGGCCAATCTTTAGAATTGTGCAGCTTAGATCTAGACATGGATTGCTTCTCACATGGACAATTATATGTTGCATGTTCTAGAGTCGGCAAACCAGACAATTTCTATATCTGCACAGACAGTGGAACAACAAAAAAATATTGTATCCCCACAAGCATTGTGGAATTAAATATATTAGAAACGTGCGCTTTCTCTTTTCTTTCTTTTCCATTTAACCAGACTGAGCCACAACAACGAGTGGCTGGGTACAGCTAATCACTAATAAAGAAATACAAGAAATAAGGACACAATGCCTATTTAAAAATCAATACTGGCTTACAACACTGAGGAGCAGTGGAATGCAGGGAATTGCAAAACTGTCCTGACTTGGAAACAGGCGGGCCAAACAGAACAACAGAGGAAGTGAATAACCTTCACTACTGCACATTTTTATTTTTATTTTTTTCATCTTTTTCTTAGGAAACTAATATTTTTCTTTTTTCCTCACTTGATTTTACGTTTTTATTTATTTATTTATTTATTTATTTATTTATTTATTTATTTATTTTAATATATTTTATTGATTTTGTACAGAGAGGAATGGAGAGAGACAGAGAGTCAGAAACATCGATGAGAGAGAGTCATCGATCAGCTGCCTCTTGCACACCCCCTACTGGGGATATGCCCGCAACCAAGGTACATGCCCTTGACTGGAATCGAACCCGGGACCCTTCAGTCTCCAAGCCGACGCTCTATCCATTGAGCCAAACCGGTCTCGGCTGATTTTATGTTTTTAATTATTAAATTTTAATTTTCAATCAGTATTATTACTGCTACTATTTTACCTATTTTTTAAAGTGGCATTTTTGCCCTAACCTGTGACACTCCAGAAATGCCATAGCAAGGGTCCCAGCACTGCCCAGCTCCCTGATGGAGAAAGATAATGGGAGGAGCAGGTATGCACGGCAACCAGAGGGCGGGCAAGGTAAGAGTACACATGACAGGGAGCCAGGCTTTCACCGCCACCACCTCTCTGAGCCTCTGGTTCCTTTTTGGCAACATGGGAATAATAACCCCAAAGCAGGCTGTTGTCAAGCAGAAAATGAGATACTAGCCTGAACAGTTAGTAACACTGTAAACTGAGGGCTGGTTATTAGCAACATCCGGTGATGACTTGGGCATTAGGCCAAGATGACATCCAGAAAAAGAATGTTCATGAGGGATATTGGCCTGTAATTCTCTTTCATTGTGTTGTCTTTATCTGGTTTTGATATTAGGGTGATGCTGGATTCATAAAATGAGCTTGCAAGTGTTTCTTCCTCTTGCATTTTTTGGAATAATCTGAGGAGGATAGCTTTTAGTTCTGGAGTGTCACAATGGAAACCAGCCTTATCGAATTTATGCAAAGAAATGTATTGCCATGATTTATTAAGCATTGCCAAATTTCCAAGAAATTATATAAGGAGAAAAATATACTGACCTGCTGTAAGATTTTCTGATTTTCCTTGCTAGTCCTTTCTATGGACTCTTTTAGAGCAGCGTTTTTCAACCGCTGTTCCGCGGCACAGATGTTGCCTGGTGTGCCGTAGGTGCAGACAAGACAAGAATTTTATAATTTTTCACTATTTTGTTTACTTAATATTTCATAATAAAGTAATTATAAAATACTTTCTTTGTGTTTATTTGATTCCTATTCAAGAGAATTACTTTATATATAGTCAATATAGTTAAATTTTTTTAACATTTTCTAATGGTGGTGTGCCTCGTGATTTTTTTCATGAAACAAGTGTGCCTTTGCCCAAAAAAGGTTGAAAAACACTGCTTTAGAATAATATAACTGTCTTCAAATGGCAAAAAAAAAAAAAATTAAATGTGTCTATATTCAAATAGATAGTCACAGCTGTCACTGTAGTAGGGTTCCCCCTACTTGACTTGTCCTTAAATTACATATGGCCTCTAAGAGGGGTGAAATGCCCTTTCAGAGAAGACTAAGGGAGTTTTATCCCTTCACAGAGTCTCACTTGTCACAGGACCTCACAGGATCTGAATTCCTGTAACAAAGGGCTGCTATTCACCACTTCCCTCTGTTCCACACAGGCCGTCCCCAGTTTCCTAAAGTTGAGGTTTGTGCCACCCCTGACATGGGCATGGTCACACAGGCTTACAAGGCAGTATACAGGTTGCCAACTATCTCTCAATAGATATCAAAACCAGATGGGTATTTTTCCTTGCCCATTTGGACACTTGCCCTTTTGGCAACTGCATTAAAATCTCTAAGGTTAACGCAATATTATTAACACAACGAAGTGCAATATTGGTACTGTGGTCACTTTAGGGGGTAGCCAAATCTTCTGCTACTATATATGACACATGGTAGGGCTATACAAATATCATAGGGAGGTGACGAAAGTCTATTCTTGACCTTCTCACACAAAGCAAAATTGTCCATGTCTCTCTGGAGCCATGTCCATGAAGTTGCAGGCATCATCTAAGTCTATTATACAGTTTTCTGCAGGCCACTGTCAAGGCTGTGCGGGACAGCCAGTTCTTCTTTCTAGCCACAAACAGTCTGTCCGATTTCCCTAAAATGTATTATGGCATGGGAGAAAGTTCTTTTGCTGTATGCAGGCAGTTTAACCCCTATACAACTGGGCCTGGACCTCTGCCTAGGAAAATGCAGTCTATAAGTTCAATATGCAGCCTCCAGTTCTCCTAACCCAACAGGGTCTCTGCCAGTCCCTCAGTCAGACTCCTCCTCTCTTGGAGGGTCTGAAAATCTTGAGCTGCTCTTAGCTAATGCCTTCCCTTCACCATCTCCTGCTAACTATGTTTATCAGTTACAGGATCTTGCCATCCCTGTCTCTCACTACTGCTTAGTTCGTAGTGGTGAGCCAAATACAGCCAAGACTGCAGGGAGAGACAAGTTTGCACATAGCAAAACGCTCTGGTGATGACTTGGGCATTAGGCCCTTGCCTTCTCACCTGTCCTCTTTCCTGGCAGGGACCTTGACCTTTCCCACAGGCTTCTCTGTAAATAAGAACAGGGCCTCTATCCCCCCCTTCCCCACCTCCCAACCAGGTGTCTTGACCCAACCCTTAGTCTTAGGGGTAAAATATTTTAGCTTCTCTGGGAGAGTTCAAGGTAGAGGAAGGGGACATCAGCCCCTCCTCTTCCAGCAGCAACAGGAACTGAACCCTTTCAGCACATTTGGGAAACTTTACCAGCTTCATCCCCAGTTACTTTCACAGATACCAGGGCCCATTGCTTGTCTCCCTTTCCTATTGTGAGTCAGAGGAAGACAATTCCTACAGAGGGGAGAAATAGAAACAGTGGGAATTTCGGAGAAAACTCCAGGCCATCGCTATAGCAGCTCTCCCTCTCAGAGGCTGGGGTCCTACCTACGGAGAAAAATGACTCTTAGTATGCCTAGAAAAGAAGGCAGAGGATGACAAGGGTGTGCATGGAAATTTCTTGTGGACTAAAAGCCTGGAGGGCCCCCTGAAAGAAAAGATCTTCAATCCAGTTACAGATTCTGTCAGAATCAGGAGTGAGAGAGGAAGGGAAAGAAACAGGTTATGTCCTCTAAGGAGGATCCTAATAAATAACTGAAAATGGCAAGCCAAACAAGACATACAAGATATATATTATCAAGGTAGACGGGGTTCATGAATAGATGATTATGATAGCATTAGTTGGATTTCTTTTTCTTATTATTACATATATAACCTTTATAAATTTCACATTTTCAAATTAGCCTTTAAACCTTCTTTTCTATGTCCTTTAAAAATGCATAACCATGCCTTAGATCTTTTATTTAGTAATTTCTTATTCTTAGAAACCTCAATCCTTTAAGGATTACCAAAAATAGACATCCAGTATTTCTTAGATTAACATTTATGAACACATTTTAAATGTACTTTTTTAAGGAAATATAACGACATTCAGTGATAAAACTAAGAGCAGGTATATTAAAACTTTTCTAGTAAAAACTGCTACATTCTTTCTTATGTAATTTCAAGTATATTGTATTGGTCTAATTTAGTATAGAAAGGGTTAAAAAGAATAAACCAGGGCAGATAAAGATTAATTTTGCTTGCAGGAAACTTGTGACCTTGAATCTAGTGTAGTTCAGATAAGACCATGGGCCAGACCTCTAAGCCAGCAGAGCAGACTGCAGCCAGTAAAAATCAACAAAAACCTAACTCCTTGCTTCATAGTTAACTGCAGACACTTCCCCCTTTTTTTACATTAACCATTTACTCTGTCCTGAAACACGACAAATAGTCTGAGATCCTGTGTATTTAGGCTTTTTACATTTAAGGTCTTCTCTCTGTAACAGCCACTCTTCCTTCCAGATTTATACCTTTAAATTAACCCCAGAATTCCCAAATTTCAAACTAATACAGCAAAATCACAGAGAAATCCAAAAGCCCTAGTACACAAACATAGACAGAAATTTCATTAGCTAAGTGGGCTGATTCCCTCTCTGACGGAGAGCAAAGAACTCTGAGAAAAATAAATCTCGCAGCTGCTAGAGACTTTTGCATTTCATCTCAGCGTGTCTGCCCTATCTTTATACAAAGTAAACAATAGAAAGAGGTAACAAATACTCTCATGTGTATAGCCAGAAGACACAAAGTAGCTTTCCCTTCACATAGACCAGTTAAATGAGCAGATAATTATGCCAAGACAGACAAACATCCGTACTCACATTTTCTCAGTAGACTAGCCCAGACTGAAGCCGAGCAGATACATGAAACAATGCCCAGCTCCCCATATGGGCGTGGGGGCTCTCCTGGCACCCATGCCCCAGAACAGAATTCTCGACCAACATCTTGGTGAGAACCTACCGGAGGAGTTAAGACTGCATCCAGTTATGATTCTTGGTAGCAAATTGGCTAGTCCCACACAAACAAACAGCGGAGTGAACTCATAATTGCTCAATTGAATCCAAATTCACTCCCTCCAGAGTCCCACATCAGACAGAGTTATACATCAGACAGAGTTTTATACTTCTACCAGATATTTACCGAGTTTATTTTTTTTAATCTCTTTATTGATTAAGGTGTTACATATGTGTCCTTATTCCCCCATTATCCCCCTCTCCCAATCGTGCCTTCATCTCCCTGTTGTCTGTGTCCATTGGTTAGGCTTATATGCATGTATACAAGTACTTTGGTTGATCTCTTCCCCTTTACCCCCACTCTCCCCTACCTTCCCTCTGAGTTTTGATGGTCTGATCAATGTTTCTCTATATCTGGATCTGTTTTTGTTAATCAGTTTATGTTGTTCATTATATTCCATAAATGAGTGAGATCACGTGATATTTATCTTTCTCTGACTGGTTTATTTCACTTAGCATAATACTCTCCAGTTCCATCCATGCTGTTGCAAATGGTAAGAACTCCTTTTTTACCAAAGCATAGTATTCCATTCTGTAGATGTACCATCACTCATCTGCTGATGGACACTTAGGCTGTTTCCAAATCTTAGCTATGGTAAATTGTGCTGCTATAAACATAAGTGTGCACATATCCTTCCTAATTAGTGTATCAAGTTTCTTTGGATATATTTCTAGAAGTGGGATCACTAGATCAAATGGGAGTTCCATTTTCAGTTTTTTGAGGAAACTCCATACTGTTCTCCACAGTGGCTGCACCAGTCTGCATTCCCACCAGCAGTGCACAAGGGTTCCTTTTTCTCTGCATCCTCTCCACCATTTGTAATTTGTTGATTTGTTGATGATAGCCATTCTGACAGATATGAGATGGTATCTTATTGTCATTTTGATTTGCAACTCTGGGATGATTAGTGACTTTGAGCATGTTTTCATGTGTCTCTTGGCCTTCCTTCTGTCTTCTTTCAAAAAGGTTCTATTTAGGTCCATTGCCCATTTTTTTATTGGGTTGTTTATCTTCCTTTTGTTAAGTTGTATGAGTTTCCTCTAAATGTTGGAGATTAAATTCTTTTTAGTGATAATATTGCCAAATATGTTCTCTCTTATTGTTTTGTTGATGGTTTCTTTTGCTGTGCAAATGCTTTTTATTTTTATGTAGACCCACTTATTTATTTTCTCTTTAGTTTCCATTACCCTAAGAATGTCTGAGATTTTGCTGCCTGTGGTTTCCTCTAGTATTTTTATGGTTTCCCGTCTTATGTTTAAACCTTTTATCCATTTTGAGTTTATTTTATGTATGGTGTAAGTTGGTGGTCTAGTTTCGTTTTTTTGCATGTATTTGTCCAATTTTCCCAACACCATTTATAGAAGACACTGTCTTTTTTTAAAATATATGTTTTATTGATTTTTCTTACAAAGAGGGAGAGAGATAGAGAGATAGAAACATCGATGGGAGAGAAAAATCGATCAGCTGCCTCCTGCACACTTCCTACTGGGGATGTGCCCACAACCCAGGAACATGCCCTTGACCGGAATCAAACCTGGGACCTTTCAGTCTGCAAGCCGAGGCTCTATCCACTGAGCCAAACTGGTTAGAGGAAGACTGTCTTAATTCCATTGTATGTTCATGCCTTCTTTGTCAAATATTAGTTGAGCATAGTGGCTTGGGTTGATTTCTAGGTTCTCTGTTCTGTTCCATTGGTCTATATGTCTTTTCTTGTTCCAGTACCAGGCTGTTTGAGAAGAGTGGCTTTGTAATACAGTTTAAGATCTGGTATTGAGCTACCACCTACTTTGTTCTCCTTTCTCAGGATTGTTGTGGCTATTCAGGGTCTTTTTTTATTCCAGATGAATTTTTGGAAAAATTCGTTCTAGGTCTGTGAAATATGCTGTTGGTATTTTAATGGGGATTGCATTGAATCTATAGATTGCTTTGGGTAGAATGGACATTTTGATGATGTTGATTCTACCAATCCATAAACACAGTATGTTCTTTCATCTGTTTATGTCTTCCTCTATCATTTTTTTCAGTGTCCTGTAGTTTTCCGTGTACAAGTCTTTTACCTCCTTAGTTAAGTTTATTTCTATTATTATTTTTAAAATATATTTTATTGATTTTTTTACAGAGAGGAAGAGAGAGGGATAGAGAGTTAGAAACATCGATGAGAGAGAATCATCGATCAGCTGCATCTTGCACATCCCCTACTGGAGATGTGCCTGCAACCAAGGTACATGCCCTTGACCAGAATTGAACCTGGGACCTTTCAGCCCGTAGACCGACACTCTATCCACTGAGCCAAACTGATTCCGGCTAAGTTTATTTCTAGATATCTTAGTTCTTTTGGTGCTATAGTAAATGTTACCCAGAGTTTAAACAGTCCACCTGACTACTGATTAATTTGCCTGAAGAAGTCCTATGACTTCCAGGGAGGTGATCTAGCTCCCCCTTCTACTCACTCAGAGTGGGCCTGACTGATAAGGACCCCTACCTTACCGATTCTGTTGACAGGTCCAGAAGTGTCCATCCACTCTCTCCAGATGCTGGCTGGGTCCTGGGCTGAGGTCTGGGAGCTCTCGGAGTCCCCCGGTTCAATTCTGCTAAATCAGCAGGGCGGTGCCTCTTGGAGGCCTATCAGGCTCCCCAGGTCCCCAAACCTGGCCTGTTCACAAGAGACCAAAGGCCAAGCATGGTTATTTCTCAGTCAGGTAACCATTAATGTTACGGAAAGCCAGAGAAGAACCAAGCAACGCCTAGAGTGATGGTGTTATATTTATTATTATTATTATTATTATTATTATTATTATTATTTATTATTATTATTACATGCAGGCACAAAAGAAAATGTCTCTCAAATTCTGGGAAGTCCCATAGGAAGTTTCCGGTATTTATGTTTTTACCTTCTTTGTCTACCAAATAAGGATTTTTCTGGTTCCCTTTGCAAGTTCTTTTTATTGGTTTTCATTTTTTTTCTTTTTTTTTCTTTATTGATTATGGTATTACGTGTGTGTGTGTGTGTGTGTGTGTGTGTGTGTGTGTGTGTGTATTATAGAGAGGAAGAGAGATAAATAGAGAGTTAGAAACATCAATGAGAGAGAATCATCGATCAGTTGCCTCTTGCACACCCCTACTGGGGATGTGCCCGCAACCAAGGTATATGCCCTTGCCTGGAATCAAACCCAGGACCCTTCAGTCTGCAGGCCAATGCTCTATCCACTGAACTAAACCAGTTTCGGCTTTTGGTTTTCATCTTACCGGTATTTTTTTAATTTAATAAATCTTTATTGTTCAGATTATTACAATTGTTTCTACTTTCCCCCTATAGCTTTCCTCCACCCAGTTCCCACCCACCCTCTGCTTTTACCTCCCCCTAATGTCCTCCTCCATAGGTGTACAATTTGTGTCCAGTCTCTTCCTGCACTCCCCAACTCCTTGCCCCCTGAGAATTGTCAGTCTACTCCCTTTCTATGCCCCTGATTCTATTATACTCATCAGTTTATTCTGTTCCTCATGTTTTTTAATTCACTTGATTTTTAGATTCACTTGTTGATAGATATGTATTTGTTGTTCATAATATGTATTTATCTTTACCTTTTTCTTCTTCCTCCTCTTCTTAAAGAATACCTTTAAGCATTTCGTATAATACTGGTTTGGCAGTGATGAACTCCTTTAGTTTTTTCTTATCTGTGAAGCTCTTTATCTGACCTTCAATTCTGAATGATAGGTTTGCTGGGTAGAGTAATCTTGGTTGTAGGTTCTTGCTATTCATCATTTTGAATATTTCTTACCACTCCTATCTGGCCTGCATAGTTTCTGTTGAGAAATCAGCTGACAGTCATATGGCTGCTCCCTGTAGGTAACTGTTTTTCTCTTGCTGCTTGTAAGATTCTCTCTGTCTTTTGCTCTTAGCATTTTAATTATGATGTCTTAGTGTGGTCCTCTTTGGATTCCTTTTGTTTGGGGTTCTGTGTGCTTCCTGGACTTGTAAGTCT